CTTACCAGGTCGTCACTCCATCTAGTGGGGGGACGCCCTACACTTCGCCTGCCGGTACGAGGCTGCCACTCGAGAACCTTTCTTCCCCATCGGTTGTCGGTTCTTCGAGCTATATGGCCGGCCCATTGCCACTTCAGCTTACTAATCCGTTGGGCTATGTCGGTCACTCTAGTTCTACTGCGGATATCCTCATTTCTGAGTTTATCACGCAGAGAAACTCCGAGCATAGCCCTCTCCATAGCTCGCTGAGCGACCTTGAGCTTCCTCATCCGGCCAGCAGTGAAGGACCACGTCTCAGTTCCGTATGTCATCACTGGCAACACGCACTGGGTGTACAGTCTCGTTTTCAAGTTTTGAGGTATACCTGACGAGAAGATGTGCCGTAATTTCCCGAACGCTGCCCAACCGAGTTGAATCCGTCGATTGACCTCTCGGTCGAAGTTGGACTTACCTAATCGGACTATTTGTCCCAGGTAAACATACTCGTCAACAACTTCGAGCTTAGTGTTCCCAACAACTACCGGCATAGGTGTGACATGGACATTAAACATGATCTTTGTTTTGTCCATGTTCAACTTAAGACCTATCCGTTGGGAAACACTATTGAGGTCATTGAGCATAGTGCTTAGGTCCTCCAGCGATTCTGTCATAAGGACTATATCGTCGGCAAATCGAAGGTGAGTGATGTTTTCGCCATTGATGTTGATACCGTATCCTTTCCAGTCCAGAAGCTTGAAAACATCTTCCGATGCAGCGGTAAAGAGTTTCGGGGATATGACGTCACCCTGTCTTACACCTCTCTGCAATTTGATAGGTTTCGTACTCTGGTTCTGTACTCGGATAGCCATCGTAGCCCTACTGTACAAGCACTTCAACACTTCGATATACCGACAGTCAACTTGGCATCGCTGAAGGGACTGCAGCACCGCCCAAATTTCGACGGAATCAAAGGCTTTCTCATAGTCCACATACGCCAGACATAGTGGCAAATTGTACTCCTCAGACTTCTGTACAATTTGCCGAAGGGTATGTATGTGGTCTATGGTGCTAAAGCCTTTTCGGAAACCGGCTTGTTCGGGAGGCTGGAAGTCGTCAAGTCTGCGCGCGAGACGATTCGTAATGACTCTCGAAAACAGCACGTAGACGCGGCTCAGAAGGGAAATCGGTCTGTAGTTCTTCAAGAGAGCGTTGTCGCCTTTCTTGAAGAACAAGACCACCGCACTTCTGCTCCACGCCTCCGGTGTAATGCCACCATGGAGGACGGAATTAAAGAGCTTCTGAAGGACTTCAAGTACCGGTCTTCCACCCGCTTTCAGAAGCTCCGCTGTAATTCCATCCTCGCCTGGGGCCTTGCCGTTTTTAAGGTGCTGGAGAGCCATTCTAATCTCGCTCAGACTGACGTCCGGGATATCATCGGAATAATGTCGGATAAGACTCGCTCTTGGATCGTTATTCACACTTGCGTACGGCTCCAACGATGACGTGTACAGCTGCCCATAGAACCTCTCAATCTCACTCAAAATCTCAGGTGTCCCGGAAACGATGCTGCCACATTCTGTCTTCAGCTTTGACAGTTGGCGCTTTCTGGCAGACAGATCTCTGGCAAAGACTCTGGAGCCTTGGCTCCGCTCGATCGCTTCTTCAATACGAGCTGTATTGAAGTTGCGTAAGTCCCGCCGTATGCATTTGGAGATCTGTCTGTTCAGTTGCCTGTATGCTGTCAAATCTGTTGAAGAATGTAGCTTCATCTCCCGTCTAACAGCCATGAGATTGAGAGTGTGATCGGAGAGTTTTTGTGTTCTTCTGCGGCGGGTCTTGCAGAACTTAGCTCCGACCGCATGGACAGTTTCCACGAGCTTGTCATTCAAATCGTCCACTTCATTGCAGTCTTCTAGGCACTGAAAACGGTTTTGTAACTCGAGCTGAAAGGTTTCGGGACTTTGGATTAGAGCACGAGGGGGACGGAGCGTTGACTTCATTAGACGAGACCTCTCCAACTTAACGTTTAGGTTCAGTGTGCCTCTAACCATTCGGTGATCGCTGCCGGTTTTCACCCTCGCGATCACTGAGACATCACTGAACAGTTGTCGTCTGGTCGTCATAATGAAGTCAATCTCATTTTTTGTCGAACCGTCGGGGCTCGACCAGGTCCACTTCCTGTGGGGCCGCTTCTGGAAGAAAGAGTTCATCATAAAGAGTCCCTCTTTCTCCATGAAGTCGGCCAGCTGCTGGCCCCTTGGGTTCCGTTGCCCTATTCCAAATTTCCCCACTTTCAGCTCACCGTTCTCTCTTGTGCCTAGTTTGGCATTGAAGTCTCCCATTAACACCGTATATTGGGTTTTGGAGGAATGCATGGCTCTAGAGATATCCTCATACATTTCGTCCACCTCCTGATCGGGGTGTGCCGAGGTTGGTGCGTAAACCTGTATGACCTTCAGCGAATACCGTTTGGTGATTCTGAGTATAAGGTACGCAACCCTCGTCGACACACTCTCAATCTTTACAACGTTGTTAACGAGAGACTTGTGGACGATAAATCCGACACCTCCTTGGGACAGATGGTCGCCCTCCCGGTAATAGAGCAAGTTGCCGGATTCGAGGGTTACCGTGTCCTCCCCCTCTCTTCGGACTTCGGATAAGCCTATAATATGCCAGCGTAACTTGTCTATCTCTTCTTCCAGCTCCACAATCTTCTCGTCAGTCCTCAGGGTGCGTGCGTTGTATGTTGCCAGGTCGAGTCGTCGTAGGTGGCAACCGAACCTCCACCGGAGATTCTTAGCACCCCCTGCCCCGTCGTTACCATGGTCGCCACCGTAGCCAGGAATAGCGGGGCCGCCGGGGACTGGGGGCCGTTTATTATTGTCATTGCTCATGGGGGGTATATTGCCATAGTTGCCACGCTTGGCGAGCGGGTTGGCAACCGCAGTTTTTTTTTATTGTTCTTTTGGCTATTATCAGGAAGATGCTGCTGCCCATCTCCTGCCTGTTTCCCTTTGTCGCCTTTTACGACACCCACGGGAAGATATGGGGTAGTGGATATTCTTAACCGCCACTACACGGCACGGTAAAATTAGTTACTAATCTGTAAATATTTACATCTTCTTCAGACACATGTCATAATGATATGTATCTTGAAAAATAATTTTGTTAATAATATAACTCGTTTACATGACTACGACTTAGATTTTATGAAAAACAGGTGGTGCTAGGTTTATATTGTGTAAGGATCTGTTAGATTATATACAAGATAACCCTTCATCATTAGTGCCTGACAATTTATATTCTCAAATTACAATGAACTGCAATGAATGCTGTTCTAAAAAATAAGATAAATGTAATTATTAATGTCCAGTTAAAAAAAATTACAAGTTCTAGAGAGTTGAAGTTATATAATTTGGGTGAAGTAATAAAGTAGAAAAAAAAATTAGCATACGGCATTCGTGTACACCACACTTTTGGGTGGGGCAAAGTTTTATAGAGAATCTGGCATCCGCCTTTAGGTCTAATTTTAAATTTAAGTCTCATGTAATGTCTAAAAATAATGATTGTATAACTTATTTCCTATAAAATTAAACTTTTATGTTTTTTTTATTCTGCACTTGTAGTTGAAAATTATCAAATTAAATAAATTATTTGCTGTGAAATTTTTTGTTTTATATTTCATTTCATTTGAAAGTTTCATTTCTACTGCGTGTGAACTGCATACGTTTTTCTTTATTATTAATTACACACTATTACATTTAATATCAATTCAAAGTTTTGCAACGCATGAATCTTTTAAAAAAATGTTTCCTTGCAATTTTACCTTCACTGCTAAACATTTGGTATATCAGCACTTAAAATTACAATAAAAATTAAATGTAAGTCCAAATTGTGTTATCTACGAAGATAGCTGTCGTTTTTACGGATTTCTACCATTAAGATATCGGCGCGAGTTGCTCGATATGTTATTTTTGCATAAATTGCTCACAGGTCAAATAGATTCTCCGGAGCTGCTATCGATGATATCGCTTAATGTACCTTCAAAGCGCACTCGTCATACAAATAAACGTTTATTCCATGTACCTTTGTCGCGTACCAGTTATTCATCAAACTCAGTTCTGTCTAGGATACTACATAATTACAACACGAAATTTTCTGATATAGATCCCTTTAATTCGACCACATATGGTTTTAAACAAGTCGTCATCAAAAAGCTTATGTAACATCAATATAGCATGTTAATTTATATAATACTAAAGCATTTTACACACACATACTTCCACACACACAGACACACACACTCTCTCTCACAAACGCATATACACACACATTATGTATATATATATATATATATATATATATATATATATATATATATGTGTATATATACATACATATTTTTAAATTACTCTTTCTGCTCGTACTCTTAAGTTATGATTTTTAAGTAAGAAAACTGTAATTAGCTTTAATTTAAAACTAAGTAAAGGTTGTATACTATTATTGTAATCATGCCGTAGTTTTCTAATAAATAAATAAATAAATAAATAAATAAATAAAGTAACTAATTTTTGAGACGTTTACAGTGTTTTGAAGTATTTAGAAGTCTGCAGTCTGTGATCATGATATAGACAACCCTATCCATGACTTTAGATTTGATAGACCACACATTTTTCGCAAAATAGAAGGAGGCTAGTTACTACCACCTGCTTGGGTCCTGTAATAAATAAAATTAAGACCTACCCCAAGCCACTGCAAGACTTTAAAATACAGTACGCACATTTTCAGTAGATCGAACCAAAATTAAAACTTGAAGATACATCGGGTTAATTATGACGTAGTCATGTCAATAATGTTATCAAGTCAAGGCCTGAACATAGGTTCAGCAGTGGACTTATGAAGAGCTATAATGACGATGAGGAGGTTCTCTTGCATCACACGGCAAGATTATGTTATGGCTCTTTTTCAGTTCGTCCCGTGGCCTTAAATTATTCTTAATTTTCGTATGAAAATATACGTACCATGTATGTGTCATGCATAACGACCTATCTCTGTAGTTGTTAAGATATAATAAATGTAGCCAATAGCCGCCACGGCAGTCGCGTACTTCGGCGTTTACAATTTGCTGAAATTAAACATAAAGTCAGGTTAATATTTAAGAAATGATTTTGATAAATGCTTTAGTAATTGGAAGAAACTGGTATTTTTAGCAAAATTAAATTTAAAACAAAGGAATTTAAATTAATTATAAGACAAACTGCAAAACTTTTAAGTTTTACTTTTTAATTTAAGAGTATTATGATAAGATTTATGAAATATTTATTTATTACTAGCTGTGCCCGCGGCGTAGCTCGCGTATACAGGTTTTACATAAAGAATTTGTTGTTTAGGTAAGAGAATATTAAACGATTTATTTCATTACTCATCAATAAGTGGTAACAAAATAAATCATTATCATCAAATTTCTAAGTCGTTTATGATATAGCTTCTGTGTAAACGACGTTAGAAGTAGGCTTAGCCGGGGTATACACAAAAAGGTTACGGGGGCTACTAACGCGGGAAAAAGCAACATAGAGTTGGCCATGTGCAAAACAGTCAGTACTGAGGTACATTCCTACAACGCGTAAAGTTTGACCTTGCGCTTTATTTACGGTCATCGCATAACACACACTCACTGTAACTGGGAACTGAACGCGCTTAAAACTGAAAGGAAAGTTACTTCTTAATAGAGGGTTTTTGGGCAGTGCTGCCAGATAAAAAAAAACTCATTCAGATCTAGGACAACACAAAAAGCGCTAGATTTCATGAAAACAGCGCTTTAAAAAAGCCCTAGATTTCGCGCTAAATTAACTACAAACAAAGTTTGTGTTTATATAATCATAATAAAGAAAACAACATTAAGTTTTTTTTCTGGCAATATTTTTTTGATGTATCAATACTTCGCAGGACATCGACTTATAATTATAGCAATTGCTGTCAACAGCTAACTACTGTAACTACTGTACGAACAATAAAAATGTCATTAATTGTTTTAAAGTGCAATGTATTTCGCAACTTAGTTTCAGATGTCAGCATCTGATTGCGGTTGCTACACAGTTTCTTTGTGTTATAACTTCTAAGTAACTTTTAACTTAGCTGTGCTCTAAGCAACTGACTAAAACTTAATAAAGCAAAATAAATGCGTTGCCAAAACCATGAACGAAAACTTTAATAAAGGGGATTTCCCCGCTTATAGTCGTCGGTAAAAAAATCAAGTTGATCATCCTAAAGGGGAAGCCAGGAGATCCATAGCACAGGGTATCCTAGTTTGGACTCGTCTCCCATGCTCTTAGTTTTGTGGAAAAAATATGTTTGAAAAAGATAAACTGCAATGTACTATTTGAGGGAAAAAATAATAAAGGTCATTATTATTATTATCGGTAATGTGGACTAACAGTGTTGCTATAAAAGAGTTAATAACCCGCTAGTCGCTAAAATATTGAAATGTGTGCTAAATACACCAAAAAGCGCTGGATTAAGCGCTAGGTGCTAAAATTTCGAAATGCGCGCTATACATTCCAAAAAAGTGCTAAATCTAGTTCCCAAAGCGCTAAAATGGCAGTTCTGATTTTGCGTATATTATAAATACAATATCACGACATTTCGTTGCAAAATTTTTATTTTTGGTCGGGTTCCGTTGTATGGCTTCGATGGATACAAATTTCTTCAGTAAGTCTAATACGATTCATCGGCGAAAAATCTCAACACAGCAATTCAGAAAAGTTTGTAATATGTACAACTCCATCTATTACGTCCTTTGTGTGAGAAAACATCCTATCTCTTTTTGTGTTTTAAGTATAAATATATTAATTAAAAAAATATGTTTGAAAAAGATAAACTGCAATGTACTATTTGTGGGAAAAAATAATAAAGGTCATTATTATTATTATCGGTAATGTGGACTAACAGTGCTGCTATAAAAGAGTTAATAACCCGCTAGTCGCTAAAATATTGAAATGTGTGCTAAATACACCAAAAAGCGCTGGATTAAGCGCTAGGTGCTAAAATTTCGAGATGCGCGCTATACATTCCAAAAAAGTGCTAAATCTAGTTCCCAAAGTGCTAAAATGGCAGTTCTGATTTTGCGTATATTATAAATACAATATCACGACATTTCGTTGCAAAATTTTTATTTTTGGTCGGGTTCCGTTTTATGGCTTTGATGGATACAAATTTCTTCAGTAAGTCTAATACGATTCATCGGCGAAAAATCTCAACACAGCAATTCAGAAAGGTTTGTAATTTGTACAACTCCATCTATTACGTCCTTTGTGTGAGAAAACATCCTATCTCTTTTTGTGTTTTAAGTATAAATATATTAATTATTATGGAACGTTTTTTTTTACACAGAAATCTTTTTATTACTATTTCTGAGATTTTATGGCGCCATTGAACAAATTCGAACCTACATTTCAAAATAATAATCATTACTTTGGATAGAATGAACCAATTTTAATAAAACAAAGATTAAATAAAAAATACATTTTCACAACACCACCATCTATCGAAGAAATGGGTTAACTATTGTGCTTCAGATTTAGTTAATGAGGTTAATATATTTTTGTATAATATATTTAATACGTTCTTTATTACTTTTGTTTACTGCGTTTTAGATATACATAATTATATCATTATTTTACATAATTTAACTATGATTTATGATATGATATTAGTTTAAAATGCACTTGATGACTCAAACAAAGCCACCGTTGAGCAAATTCGTACCTATACTTCCCTACCCATACTTCAAAATATTTATCATAACTTTTGATGGAATGAACTGATTTTAATGAAATAAAGACTAAATGTAACCCGAAGATACACTTTATAATTTCCTTAACAATTCTTATGATATAAATTAGTACTTTATACGTGATACGTTAACAAACAAACAGACAGACAGACAGACAGACAGACAGACAGAAAATTGTAAAAATGGTGGAAATGTATTTAATTACTTATTTTTAGTACCCCTCAATCACTTTTATTACAAAAATAAAAAATGTACAGACATCTGCTATTTACAGTTTTATTATATGTATAGATTAACGCCCATATTTTATGTCAAATTTATAATATTTTAAATAGTTTAATAGCATTGTCAATTAGCAGCAGTAGTATTAAAGAATAGCTAAGATTTAATGTTAGCCTTGATGATTTACGAAAATTATTAAAATAAGGTAAAGATTTTATTGCAATTATAGAGATAAATAACAGTAACAAAATTTACATTATAGCACGTAATAACATGTTTCGAATTCTTATATTGGAGCAAAATATTTCTATATCGTGGAGCATTACGTTGGCAAACCGTGATGCTTTATCTTCATCTTATTATAATATTTTTCCGCATAATTATTCCGAATATAGAATCTCCGTAGAACATTGATGTACTATTTGTGGTATTGCGTTTTCTGATGGACCTATGAATAACCTTTTTGTTATTTAGGTTGATGGAGTAGTGCAGTGATATAATGACTAAGATAGTCTGGGGAAATTGCCATGGTCTGTATTAGGCAACAGTCGTAATGTCGTTGTTGGGTTCTGTGGTATTTTTATATTTGCGTGGAGCGCGTTTTCTGCGTTTGAGCTCAGCGCTCTTGTTAGACACCTAAGAAATCTTGAAATTTCAGCCACCAAGTCCGTCCTCTTCGCTTCTAAGTATTTTGCTCTTTAACTTTTGAAAATAGGTAAATATTACAAGATACTGAGTCAGGTAATACAATTATCGAAATCAGATATATCTTTTTATATATTAAAAAAGCCAAATTTTCTGAATGCCGTTACCGGTGCTAAAAAGATGCCAGACTCATTATTTTGGACGTTCATCACACCAAGCTGACAAAACTTTTTGGACACAAACTGTCACAACGTATCAATTGGTGTTTACCACATAAGTAAAAATAAATTATTGGTTTGCAAAGCTGCCGATCCAATACTCAGTTTTCACATAAGCTTTATATTGGCTTTCTCGAATTTTTTTTTTTTGAGTAAACACAGAAGAATTTATCCTTTTCTGATGAGGGTTCATATCTATGGTTGAAAAACAGAAAATTCAAAGAAGTCAGGGTAGAATCCCGAAATCACACTCGTTCTAATAATAAGTAAGGCGCAGATTAATCAGTATTAAGATTATGTCCGTTGTGGGAATTATTCCAGAGCGGAGAAGCTGTCCTGTAAACAGTAAGCACTGCTAATCACGATGCGAGTAATTGGCATTGTTACTGTTAGATTATATTGCCTATTTTATTTACTTTTAAGTGCTCACTATTTTCTATGAATATTTTTTATGTAAAGTCGTCACCAAGAGATATTCATTTATTTCAATAAATTTTAGATTTATTTCTACCAATTACGTTAAAAGTAATATTTTGGTATTTTTATACATACTTCCCACAGAGGTCCGGATCCAAGGAATCTAAACCACGTCAACGTAATTGCAAGCACAACTGCATAAGGTGGAGTTAACCTGTCGATTATAATATATATCTTTGTTGAACTTTTTTTTACAAATTAGGAAGCATTTTCTTCATACTAATGAAAAACAAAACTAAAAAGAGTATGGGCAAACACAAGTTAATTCAAAACACAAAGTCGCAGTCCCTTCACTTCTTATAGCCATCATGTATCAGATGTAATGAGATCAGAGGCAGTTATTGCGATCAAACAAGAAAATTATATACCTTCGTCAATCACTAAATCACATGATCATCATGCAATTATTTAATGTTTTCTTTTCAATGGAATTACGGTTACAAACGAGCACACAGTCCACCTGATGATAATTGGATGCTCCGGTCCATATACACCCACATCTTACATCTATTCTCGATAAAGAATAAAAAAATCGGAAAGATTAAGATTGAATGCTTTGTTTCCAGTTAAAAGTTTGTTCGGTTCTTTACACTCAATTTAAAAAATACAGCTGCTATTTTACTATCTTCAAAGCTGAATACAAGGACAAAGGTAAACTCTCTCTATATACTGCAAAAATTAATTGCGTAAATTAATAAATTAAAATATATTTTTCTTATTTCTTCGGATAATTCTACTTCATCATCAGCCTATAAAAGTTCGCTGTCTCTCTCATCGTCATCATCATATACCTCTCCCTTTATACGAAGCATAAGCCAATATCGCGAAGTTTGGCAGATGGATTGGCAATCGCAGTACAGGACGTTTTATACCTTTGTCGCTGCACCCTGTGGCCGGTCTGCGGTCTAATATTGTATGTTCGGCATTTACGAGATCATTATTCCGCCAAATATTAGCAGCTATAAGTTTATTCTGGCATTTCTTACAACTCTTACCACATCCAAAGAACGAAATGGGGAAAAAATGAATTGTCTTACAGATACTGATGGATAAAAAAGAAGAAGAGGTTGGAAATGGTGCAGTATATTGCACTCAGGTGAACTCGTTTCTCAATCTGATGCTATAAATATAATATTGTATATCCGTGATCGTTAATTACTATTTAGATGTTTACGATACTGAAGGGTCCTATTTTTGCATTTATTATTTGTGTTGTAAAGAAAATTAAAAAGTAAGAAATAAATAATCGTCACATAAAAGTAAATTTGTATGTTATAAATATCTATATTATGGTTGTTTAAATTTATTTGTTGCTTACCTTAACCATCTGTCTATGATTCCTTTTGGTATCAATATCCAATTCAGATCTTTTTTCTCAGACCTAATTTGTAAGTGGTAGGCTAATAAGCATCCGGATATGATGAAGAACGTCTGCACAATTATGGTGCCGTCGAGAAATAAGTGGTATAAAATATTGTGGTATTTCTGCAAAATTATACAAGAGTTATTAAAATATTTATACGTTTACCTTTCCAAGCGTTTCACATCAACATGAAATGGCGTCGCCAAGAGAACCAAAGATATGGTATAAACAATGATAGAAGGATGTCCGGGCGGCGTCTAGTCCATATACATACGTATTTATCTGTTTTCTTCCTGTATAATAACACTAGATCAAATATTTTAAAGATACAATATCCCATGTTTGTCTGGGTCTTATGTAGTGCACGCATGTTGTGGCACGCATATGTTAGACTAATAACAAAAGATAACATACCAACAGTGTTACTTGCCTAGGATGTCATAAAAGGTGCCTAATGTGATACTAGGTTTGTCATGGTATAGGCGATGAACTATTCACAATTACACATCTAAAACCAGATTTTTGGTAGATTAAAATCTGAGTAGCTAGCTGCTCGTTGAACTTTACTCGCGTTACTATGAATTTTAAATCACTATTTACCACTGTTATATTACTATGTTCTTTATTTTTGCATAAGTTAGTAATTTGACAAACTAAGAACCTATAATTACTAAAATTACAAAATTATGCCTTGATGTTAATTTGATTTGATTTGATTGATTTGATTTGATGGTAATTACATGCATATGCGATGAAAAGTTGTGATATAAAATGAAACATGCTTAAATTTACTCATTATCATCATCATCATGACAGACCTTCAGTAATTCACGCTGAAACCCAAGGAATTTTACTCACTCATGAGCCATCTACATCGACTTCCTGGTAAAGGACCATGTAGAGAATACCAGCGTGAAATAGCAACAAAATGATGATGTATTTCATATGATGAGAAAGGAAGACCATTTTTACTCTGAAAAACATTCCGTCGTAGTCTGCAGCTGTTAAAACAATTGCATTTTGATTCTTAATCGAATCTAGATAGGTGTATATAGACACAGCACAATCTTACCATCAGATTAACTGTGAACACAAATCTTTTTTAGTCACCCTTACTTATATGAAAAAAAATCACTGCCATTAAGTACTTTGTTTTTTTATACACGTTACCTCCAATCTAAGATATTTTCCTGTATTACGGGGGCAGTTCACATACATAAATTTCACAAAGATAAACATACAGATCCAGAACAATTATTTGTAGGTCATACAAATACTTGTTCCGTGAAGGATTCAAACTCGCGGCCCTTAGCACTGCAACTCTTTACTAAGCCACTGCGCTATCGAGCCGTCAACTTTGTAACTCAGACAAAAAAGATGTACAGTCCTTACGGGCATGAATTTAATATGGGGAAAAATAATCCTTAGTCTATATTTTGATAAAATTTATTATTCTTTTTTTTTCGCTTTTACAACAAAATCCCAGAAAACGCACACAATTTGACCTGCTCAAAGTTCAAAAACTTTACTGAACTAAGTTTGTATAAAAAAGGTAATTATAATATTAAGGAGTTTATGGATGATACGAGTAATAAACCCTGGGAATAAGGTGATTGCTACCAGTCTATTGCTTATTTGTTTTGTGTTGTTGATTAAGTAACATATATTTTAAAAAAATCCTGCCGGATTTCTTGCTGGTTCTTCCCAGGACATAGGCTTTTTTCGAATCAGTGGTAATTTAAACATAAGAATGACTTTCAGTAAGTAAGTTTTAATCTACATTGAATAAAAAAAAGTTTCTGTATCTGGAATATGCTCAAAATAAGAAATATAGTGTAGCAAATGATTAATAACGTTAAGCTAATTTATATATCTTAAAAATACTTTCTTGTGGGTTAGATACTTATTGAATAACTTTGTCCCAATATCTTACTTGTTTCTTAGTTAAAAATATACGAGTACTTACGTCTTCATAGAAGAGAGTATTGTCGGAGGCGACCACAAACGGGAGTAAAGAGTGTTCTGTAATTACTAGGAATATTGTTATTGCCCTGAAAAGGAAATATATTCATTTTATATTCTTTATTCTTTATATATATAAAGAATTAAAAATAATGTGGTTAATAGCTAGCAATATTTAAAATGTTGCTAGCTATTAACCACAGTTTTGCCCGCGTCGAAAATTTGTCTTTGTATAAGTTCTAAGAGTGAAAAAGCATATTAAAAAAATGGAAAAATTATTGTCGACAAAGAAACAAATATCCTATCTAAAATCAATATCAAGCAATGTTTTCGACCATGCAACTCTTATTGCATAAAGTAGTGTACAAGCTTTTAGCAACAGAAGGTCCGTCAAATAATACACATTCACATTACATAAATGAAATAGAGAATATTAACCTAACACAAGATTTTTTTCGTGTATAATAAACTACATATACTGCATCATAACATAAATGGGTTTTTGAATAAATGTGACATCTTAATAGAACGTTTGAATGACCTCTCCAATAATGGAAAAAAATGTTAGTATTTTATACTTCACCGAACATAACATGTTACAGAGCGACGTAAACCTTCCAAATATATCTGACTTTAAATTAGCTACTTACTTTGCTCGTAATAATCGAAACGGAGGTTCATGCAAATTCGTGTATAACGGAATAAACTTTACATAAATGAAAATAATAAAACAATTTAATAATCCTAACGTTTTTGAATTCTGTACCATAAACCTGACATACCATAAAGCTATTATAGTACGCAAATACAGAACCCCAATTCAGAGAAAAATAAACATTTTCGTAGATATCAAAAAATAACTTACAGTGATTTTAATATAGACATGCTAAAGAAAACTAAAGATTCTCTTCAATAATGATTTCTTATATTTACGCGAACACTACACATTTAAATAAAACTAATTTTACGGATTTTATCGCATGCAGTTGTGTATGCCTGGGTTGATGATACAAGACTTCATGATACTGTAAGTTCATACTGCATAGATCGGAACAAAAATTAATAATTTTTAATCTGAAGGTAGCCGTGGTTAACTATGATATTGGGACGTCATACACCTCAGTCTCCCCCGTGACCATGGGTGCTGTAAAGTGCTTGAAACGTCGGGAATATAAAATAAGTTAATATAGGCGATAAAATCCGCAAAATTAGTTATATTAAAAAAAAAGTTTCTCTTCAAGTTGAACGTTTTGCAAAAGAATTTAACTTTAAAATAGAAATAAGCGAACCGACACTCCCTATTGCATTATATACGAGGATGTAATAGCGAAATAATAGAGCTGAGTGTTTCCGATCATACAGCACAGTTGATGAAATGGCCAGTAAAAAACGTGTGCTCCTAAATGTTGGCATATTTTTAAACGCCATTACAGCAAAGAGAGTGTAACACTTTTTAAGAAATACATCGGCATTCTAAGCATCTCAGAAGCATACGAAACTCATGATCCAAATAAAGCCTACAATAGCTTCTTTGACTTATTAAAGCTATTCTATTACCTATGCTTCCATGTTATGAAATCTAAAGTAGAGCCAATTAAGAAAACAAAATGGTTTACGCGGACAGTTAAAATATGCAGCACAACGAGACGAGAACTACTGTGCAAATATAGACCGAGACCAAGTAAAGATACAAAGCAAAAATTTAAAAACTATACAAAGAGATATAAAAAAAATTGTTAATCTGACACAAAAAGCTCAAAACAGTTATTTTATAGAGACAAGTCATAATAAAATAAAAGCTGCGTGGAAAGTGATAAATGCAATGAAGCCAAACATACCTAAAGAAAACATTGAGGGAAAAAAGATCCAAGGAAAGTATTTGATAAATCCTAAATTGATAGCGGATTGTTTTAATAATTATTATTCAAATCAAATACAGACTAATAAGAAAACTGGACTAATAAACAAAACAATTGCAGTCAGAAATCGGCCAAATCAATATTCATGGAACCAACAATATAACAATTAATAAAAACCATAAAAGTACAAACACCACCGGATATGATACCATACACACAAAAAATAATTAAAGAAATGGCACCTTTAATAGCACCTATCATCATCATTACAGCCTTTCATAAGTCCACTGCTGAACATAGGCCTCCCCCAAGGAATGCCACAAAGCACGGTCCTGAGCCACCTGCATCCATCGACTTCCTGCATGTCTTACCAGGTCGTCACTCCATCTCGTGGGGGGTCGCCCTACAATTCGCCTACCGGTAAGAGGCTGCCACTCAAGAACCTTTCTTTCCCATCTGATGTCGGTTCTTCGAGCTATATAGCCGGCCCACTGCCACTTCAGATTACTAATCCGTTGGGCTATGTCGGTTACTCTGATTCTACTGCGGATATCCTCATTCCTAAGTTTATCACGCAGAGAAACTCCGAGCATAGTTCTCTCCATAGCTCGCTGAGCGACCTTGAGCTTCCTCATACGGCCAGCAGTGAAGGCTAAGATCTGTAAATCATCACTGGCAACACGCACTGGTTGTACAATTTCGTTTTAAGGTTTTGACGTATGTCTGACGAGAAGATGTGTCGTAGCTTCCCGAACGCTGCCCAGCCGAGTTGAATCCGTCGATTGACCTCTCGGTCGAAGTTGGACTTACCTAGTCGGACTATTTGTCCCAGGTAAACATACTCGTCAACAACTTCGAGCTTAGTGCTCCCAACAACTACCGGCATAGGTGTGACATGGACATTAAACATAATCTTTGTTTTGTCCTTGTTCATCTTAAGACCTATCCGTTGGGAGACACTATTGAGGTCATTGAGCATGGTGCTTAGGCCCTCCAGCGATTCTGCCATAAGGACTTTATCGTCAGCAAATCGAAGGTGAGTGATGTACTCGCCATTGATGTTAATATCGTATCCTTTCCAGTCTAGAAGCTTGAAAACGTCTTCCAATGCAGCAATGAAGATTTTCGGGGATAGAACATCACCCTGTCTTACACCTCTCTGCAATTGGATAGGTTTCGTACTCTGGTTCTGTACTCGGATAGCCATCGTAGCTCTACGGTACTAACACTTCAGCACTTCGATAAACCGACAGTCAACTTGGCACCGCTGAAGGGACTGCAACACCGCCCAAATTTCGACGGAATCAAAGGCTTTATCATAGTCCACATACGCCAGACATAGTGGCAAATTGTACTCTTCGGGCTTCTGTACAATTTGCCAAAGGGTATGTATGTGGTCTATGGTGCTAAAGCCCTTTCGGAAACTGGCTTGTTCGGGATGCTGGAAGTTGTCAAGTCTGAGCGCGAGACGATTCGTAATGACTCTCGAAAACAGCATGTAGACGCGGCTCAGAAGGGAAATCGGTCTGTAGTTCTTCAAGAGAGCGTTGTCACCTTTCTTGAAGAACAAGACCACCGCACTTCTGCTCCACGCCTCCGGTGTAATAGCACCATGGAGGATGGAATTAAAGAGTTTCTGAAGGACTTCAAGTACCGGTCTTCCACCAGCTTTCAGAAGCTCCGCTGTAATTCCATCCTCGCCTGGGGCCTTACCGTTTTTAAGGTGCTGGAGAGCCATTCTAATCTCGCACAGACTGACGTCCAGGATATCTTCGGAATAGTGTCGGATGAGACTCGCTCTTGGATCGTTACTCACACTTGCATGTGGCTCCTTACGTGTACGGCTGCCCATAGAACCTCTTAATCTCACTCAAAATCTCAGGTGTCCCGGAAACGATGCTGCCACATTCGGTTTTCAGCTTTGACAGTTGGCTATTTCTGGCAGACAGATCTCTGGCAAAGACTTTGGAGCCTTGGTTCCGATCGATCGCTTCTTCAATACAAGCTGTATTGAAGTTGCGTAAGTCCCACCGCATGCATTTGGGGATCTGTCTGTTCAGTTGCCTGTATGCTGACAAATCTGTTGAAGAATGTAGCTTCATCTCCCGTCTAACAGCCATGAGATTATGAGTGTGATCGGAGAGTTTTTGTGTTCTTCTGTGGCGGGTCTTGCAGAACTTAGCTCCGACCACATGGATAGTTTCCACGAGCTTATCATTCATATCGTCCACTTCATTGCAGTCTTCTAGGCACTGAAAACGGTTTTGTAACTCGAGCTGAAAGGTTTCGGGACTTTGGAACAGAGCACGAGGGGGACGGAGCGTTGACTTCATTAGACGAGACCTCTCCAACTTAACTTTTAGGTTCAGTGTGCCTCTAACCATTCGGTGATCGCTACCAGTTTTCACCCTCGCAATCACGGAGACATCACTGAACAGTTGTCGTCTGGTCGTCATAATGAAGTCAATCTCATTTTTTGTCGAACCGTCGGGGCTCGACCAGGTCCACTTCCTGTGGGGCCGCTTCTGGAAGAAGGAGTTAATCATAAAGAGTCCCTCTTTCTCCATGAAGTCGGCCAGCTGCTGGCCCCTTGGGTTCCGTTGCCCTATTCCAAATTTCCCTACTTTCAGCTCACCGTTCTCCCTTGTGCCTAGTTTTGCATTGAAGTCTCCCATTAACACCGTATATTGGGTTTTGGAGGAATGCATGGCTCTAGAGTCTAGAGATATCCTCATACATTTCCTCCACCTCCTCATCGGGGTGTGCCGAGGTTGGTGGGTTAACCTGTATGACCTTCAGCGAATACCGTTTGGTGATTCTGAGTATAAGGTACGCAACCCTCGTCGACACACTCTCAATCTTTACAACGTTGTTAACGAGAGACTTGTGGACAATAAATCCGACACCTCCTTGGGATAGATGGTCGCCCTCCCGGTGATAGAGCAAGTTGCCGGATTCGAGGATTACCGTGTCCTCCCCCTCTCTTCTTGACTTCGGATAATCCTATAATATGTCAGCGCAACTTGTCTATCTCTTCTTTCAGCTCCACGATCTTCTCGTCAGTCCTCAGGGTGCGTGCGTTGAACTTTGCCAGGTCGAGTCGTCTAAGGTGGCAACCGAACCTCCACTGGAGATTCTTAACACCCCCTGCCCCGCCGTTACCATGGTCGCCACCGTAGCCAGGAATAGCGGGGCCGCCGGGGACTGGGGGCCATATATTTGTTGCTCTAATCATTGGGGGGTATTTGCTATATTTGCCACGCTTGGCGGGCGGGTTGGCAACCGCAGTTCTTTTAATATAATTTTGGCTATTATCAGGAAGTTGCTGCTGCCCATCTCCTGCCTGTTTCCCTTTGTCGCCTTTTACGACACCCACGGGAGGATATGGGGTAGTGGATATTCTTGACCGCTACTACACCGCAATAGCGCCTATACTATGTTATAATATAAAAAATTGCTTCCAATGTGGAACATTTCCAGAAAATCTGAAAAATGCTATCATCAAGCCTATTAAAAAAAGAAGATAAAACAAATGTTAGTAATTACAGACCGATGGCGTTATTATCGATTTTCTCTAAAATATTCGAAAAAGTTATTTATATTAGACTATATAACTACTTGGAAATTAATAATATCTCATGCGAAGAACAAATGGGATTCAGAAAAAACAAAACTACCAATATGGCTATCTACAACTTCTTGGAGAAAATATACCGGAACATGTATAGTAGGAAACTAGCTGTGGCAATGTATATGCACATAACTAAGGCCTTCGATTTTATAGATCATAATATACTACTAATCAAATTATACATCTATGGAGTTAGGGGAAACATGCTTCAACTAATGAAATCTTTTCTGGAAGACAGAAAACAAATAACACAGATTACCCGAATAGATATTAAGTCGAAAACTGAAAAACATACTCTTCCGATGCACAATTGATTAAATACGGATCCTCAGGGTGGAGTTCTTGCCCCTCTTTTTTATCATTTATATAAATGACTTTCCAAATTGTACAAGTCACCAATTGTCTTTATTTGCCGATGACAACACTGTAAGTTATAATACTAATAATTATGACGATATTGAAAGTGAAATCAATAATAGTCTTATATCAATTATTGACTGGTTGAAAGAAAACAACCTAAAATTTAATTTAGAAACCAAAATAATGACTTTTCAAATAAAACAATATACCTCAATAAATCTACACATTGAATATATGGGCCAAGACGTAAAAGAAACAAAGGTAAAAAAAAATTTGGGACTACATATAAACAATGATATGTCGTGGAAGACTCAAATTGATTGTATTTGTAAACAATTGCACCAATTTGCATAGGTCCTTTATGCTGTGGAAAATTGTAAACCAGAAAGCACTATTAGCAGCATACCATAGCTATGTCAAGCCAAATAAGCTAGTGTAAGCAAAATTTAAAAAAATTAAAAATTCTAACATTTCTCTCATTATATATTTATGAAACAAGCATTTTTATAAACGCAATATTAACTTGTTTCACTGCCTCGTTGGTCTAGTGGTTGTAGTAGTGCGACTGCTGATCATGAGGTCCCGGGTTCGAATCCCGGGTCGGGCCAAAAAATCAGTTATTCAGTTTTTCCATCAAGAAATTCTCAGTAGCTGCCCGGAGTCAGGAAGTTGGCGGTGTGACACTCCCGTGCCTCGGAAAGCACGTAAAGCCCTTGGTCCTGCACCTGATCTCTCGCCGGTCGTGTCAGTTTACCGTCCCGTCGGACTTTGAGAGTTAGGGAATAGAGAGTTTACCTGTGCTTGCGCATACACTTGGGCACTGTAACCCTGTCCTGCGCAGATGGCTAGTCTCTGTTGAGACTGGCCGCCGTGACCGAAATTCGGTTTGGAGGACATTATTATTATTATTATATTTGTGGACAGTCAACGTCGCTCAGATTAGCTTCATTTAATACCAAGTAGAACTGTTTTTTTTACAGAAGAGTACATACGCAATAGCACCAAAAGTATATAACAAAATAACTTAGTGCATTAGAGATTGAAACAAACTAAACTAAAAACTAAAACTAAACTAAACTTAACTTAACTAAACTTTTTGATCTACGAAATGATAAAGCATAATCATCCATAGATGAATTCCTTAATGATAGATTTTAACAAAAAATATTATATTATTAAACTGCATTGACTACATAACTATCATGACATGGGCCAATTAATACCTAGATGACAATTAGACAAGATGATAACAATTATTGTATGTACACTATACCTTTATAATCTTTAAATTTTTCATAATAATTAATATATTATATAATGATTTCAATTAGAACATGATATCAGAAAAGAAAAAAAATATTAATGCTATTAATTAATGATGCACTTATTAATTTTATAATTCGTATGCCTACTGGCGGGACATAGAAAACCTACCTTATATTTTATTATGTACATATCGAGATCTGTAAATTAACCTTTGTTCACAAAATAAACAGATTTGATTTGATTGATTTGATTAACTTTAACAAACAGCTTAACGATATTAATGGTGCCTCAACCACCGAATATCCATAGAATTATCATTAAAGCGCACTGAAACCCTATAATCAATCAATTAACGAAGGAAGTTCTCAAGCCGTTCAATTTAATGTTTTTTTTTTATTAATTAGGTTATACATCAGGGCTGGTCCTTCATTGTATTTGAAGAAAAATTCCGCCCCTAAGGGTAAGAAAATAGAGGGCCTTCTAGTTGTTTTAACCGAAAGTTGTCACCTTTAACATGTGACTGTCCTTACCCCACTAAAAAGAGCCAAAAAACTTAACTTTAAATAACAAAATTAAAAGGTGACCTTAAATGACTAAAAAGAATTAAATGAATTCCACATAACGGCTTCTGAAGTTGGGGCTTTAAATCTTTATATATGACGATGACTTAGCATCGAATTCTGAAGCTGTTATGTGGAAATCATTTTAATGCTGCTATTTTTTGAATGATCCTTTTTACTTTTTACTGGAAAAGGGGCATTCAATCCTAGCCCTCACGCACAACAACTTATCTGCATTTTAATATGCAAACAAGGATAGATGTAGATGTCTATAGGTCACAGTAACCACTTACCATCAGGTGGACTGTGTGCACCCTTGTCAGACTTTACCTATAAAAAAATATATTTTTTGTTCTTTTGCGCTTTATTCGTAGTTTCGTTTTTGTAAATTTGTTAATAGAATGATCTTATGCAACTTTTATATTTATTATATTATATTTACGAGTGATTTCATTTACTTTAATATTCATTAAGTAAAGAGTAAAGAGTTGGCCAAGTACAGTAAGTCTAGGTTGTGCAGAGAAATAAGCTATAAGGAAGCAATCAATTAATGAATTAGACTATAACAGTTTGCAACAATACTCATTCTCGTATAAATCAATATTAAAATATATCTCACACGCGATGACGTGGCAAATTGTACACTACCGGAGAGAGATCAGGCGCAGATCCAACAGCTATACGTGTTTTCCGAGGCACGAGGGTGAAACTATGACAAAGTTATTTATCAAGTTGACTGTCTCGTTCGTATAGTGTTATTAAACTGACTGCTGATCATCCTGGGTTCGAAACCCGGGTTGGGCCAACAGAAATCAGCTTTTCTAGCAAAAAGTTCTCAGTAGAAGCCCGGAGTCAGGAAATTGGCTGTGTTTCAACCACTACCCTTGGAAAGCACATAAAGCCGTTGGTCTGATCCTGATCGCTCTCCAGTCATGTCGGACTATGACAGTGAGGGAATAAGGAATTTGCCTGTGCTTGCGCATATACTCGAGTACTATAATCTCACCCTGCGCAGATGGCTGATCTCCGTTAAGACTGGCCGCCGTGACCGAAATGCGGTCTGGATGACATTGTTAATTATCAAATTATTTCTTAAGTCAAATTCTGCATGTAATAATTAATAAATAAAATGATTAAAATAATGATATTAAAATTATGTGTATCCCTGATTTATGCATTATGTCGGATATTTATTTTGCTTAGTTATATTTTAAGATTAAGCTGTGTCCTTACCTTAAGCCGTTGATACCCTTAAAACATTTAAGCCGCGGTTCGTTCCCAGTTGCTGCAGGAGCTACCAACTTCAGCCAATTACGCCTGATCGAAAAGCATCGAAGTAATTTGTTTACTGGAAAACAAAAGTAATAATATACAAAAGTACAAACATACAAAAGTATTAATAAATAAATAAATAAATATCCAAGCGGAAACTATATAAGAAAATATAAAATTGCCTCGACAGCTGTCACGCTATTTCCGCCCATAGTTTTCGCAAATAATGACCACAGAATAACTATCTTACTCTCTGATGAGTAATAATACGAGTCGTAAGAAGCAACAGAGGAAAACAAACCTGGAGAGAATCAGGGCAACAGCGTCTACCTAATAACAACTAAAAAAAACTGCGGTTGCCGAGCCTGGCAACTAAGGCAAATTATCCTATGTCGCAATCTATGGGGGGAGGGACTATGTACACCTGTTGACTCATAATAGTGTGATGGCGCATGATTAATATTAATAAAGAATAATGAATGTCTATATAGAGTGGTATAAAAATATCTTAAAGGCTAGTCCTTAAAAATGCATTAAATTTACTAAAACCCTGCTTAAAATATTCAAAAGATATTCATCATCATCATTACAGTCTTTCATAAGTCCACTGCTGAACATAGGCCTCCCCCAAGGAATGCCACAAAGCACGGTCCTGAGCCACCTGCATCCATCGCCTTCCCGCATGTCTTACCAGGTCGTCACTCCATCTCGTGAGGGTCGCCCTACACTTCGCCTACCGGTACGAGGCTGCCACTCAAGAACCTTTCTTTCCCATCGCTTGTCGGTTCTTCGAGCTATATGGCCGGCCCACTACCACTTCAGCTTACTAATCCGTTGGGCTATGTCGGTTACTCTGGTTCTACTGCGGATATCCTCATTCCTAAGTTTATCACGCAGAGAAACTCCGAGCATAGCCCTCTCCATAGCTCGCTGAGCGACCTTGAGCTTCCTCATACGTCCAGCAGTGAAGGACCACGTCACAGTTCCGTAAGCCATCACTGGCAACACGCACTGGTTGTACAATTTCGTTTTAAGGTTTTTAGGTATGTATGAGGAGAAGATGTGTCGTAGCTTCCCGAACGCTGCCCAGCCGAGTTGAATCCGTCGATTGACCTCTCGGTCGAAGTTGGACTTACCTAGTCGGACTATTTGTCCCAGGTAAACATACTCGTCAACAACTTCGAGCTTAGTGCTCCCAAAACCTACCGGCATAGGTGTGACATGGACATTAAACATCTTTGTTTTGTCCATGTTCATCTTAAGACCTATCCGTTGGGAGACACTATTGAGGTCATTGAGCGTAGTGCTTAGGTCCTCCAGCGATTCTGCCATAAGGACTATATCGTCAGCAAATCGAAGGTGAGTGACGTACTCGCCATTGATGTTAATACCGTATCCTTTCCAGTCCAGAAGCTTGAAAACGTCTTCCAATGCAGCGGTGAAGAGTTTCGGGGATATAACATCACCCTGTCTTTCACCTCTCTGCAATTGGATAGGTTTCGTACTCTGGTTCTGTATTCTGATAGCCATCGTAGCTCTACGGTACAAACACTTCAGCACTTCGATAAACCGACAGTCAACTTGGCACCGCTGAAGGGACTGCAGCACCGCCCAAATTTCGACGGAATCAAAGGCTTTCTCATAGTCCACATATGCCTGACATAGTGGCAAATTGTACTCTTCGGACTTATGTACAATTTGCCGAAGGATATGTATGTGGTCTATGGTACTAAAGCCCTTTCAGAAAACGGGCTTGTTCTGGAGGCTGAAAGTCGACAAGTCTGCGCGCGAGACGATTCGTAATGATTCACAGCATTCGTAATATTCAACAGCACGTATACGCGGCTCAGAAGGGAAATCGGTCTGTAGTTCTTCAAGAGAGCGTTGTCACCTTTTTTGAAGAACAAGACCGCACTTCTGCTCCACGCCTCCGGTGTAATGCCGGACGGAATTAAAGAGCTTCTGAAGTACTTCAAGTACCGGTCTCCCACCCGCTTTCAGAAGCTCCGCTGTAATTCCATCCTCGCCTAGGGCCTTGCCCTTTTTAAGGAAATTAGAATGGCTCTCCAGCAAGCCATTCTAATCTCGTTCATACTGACCGTTCGGGATATCTTCGGAATAGTTTCGGATAAGACTCGCTCTTGCTTGCGTGCGGCTCCAAAAATGACGTGTACAGCTGCCCGTAGAACCTCTCAATCTCACTCAAAATCTCAGGTGCCCCGGAAACGATGCTGCCACACTCGGTCTTCAGCTTAGACAGTTGGCTCTTTCTGGCAGACAGATCTCTGGCAAAGACTTTGGAGCCTTGGTTCCGCTCGATCGCTTCTTCAATACAAGCTGTATTGAAGTTGCGTAAGTCCCGCCGCATGCAGTTGGAGATCTGCCTGTTCAGTTTCCAGTATGATGTCAAATCTGTTGAAGAATGTAGCTTCATCTCCCGTCTAACAACCATGAGATTGAGAGTGTGATCGGAGAGTTTTTGTGTTCTTCTGTGGCGAGTCTTGCAGAACTTAGCTCCGACCGCATGGACAGTTTCCACGAGCTTGTCATTCATATCGTCCACTTCATTGCAGTCTTTTAGGCACTGAAACCGGTTTTTTAACTCGAGTTGAAAGGTGTCGGGACTTTAGAACAGAGCACGAGGGGGACAAAGCGTTGACTTCATTAGACAAGACCTCTCCAACTTAACGTTTAGGTTTAGTGTGCCTCTTATCGTTCGGTGATCGCTACGAGTTTTCACCCTTGCGATCACGGAGACATCACTGAACAGTTGTCGTCTGGTCGTCATAATGAAGTCAATCTCATTTTTTGTCGAATCGTCGGGGCTCGCCCAGGTCCACTTCCTGTGTGGCCGCTTCTGGAAGAAAGATTTAATCATAAAGAGTCCCTCTTTCTCCATGAAGTCCAGCCAGCCAGCTGCTGGCCCTTGGGTTCCGTTGTCCTATTCCAAATTTCCCTACTTTCAGCTCACCGTTCTCTCTTGTGTCTAGTTTTGCATTGAAGTCTCCCATTAACACCGTATATTGGGTTTTGGAGGAATGCATGGCTCTAGAGTCTAGAGATATCCTCATACATTTCCTCCACCTCCTCATCGGGGTGTGCCGAGGTTGGTGCGTAAACCTGTATGACCTTCAGCGAATACCGTTTGGTGATTCTGAGTATAAGGTACGCAACCCTCGTCGACACACTCTCAATCTTTACAACATTGTTAACGAGAGACTTGTGGACGATAAGTCCGACACCTCCTTGGGACAGATGGTCGCCGTCCCGGTGATAGAGCAAGTTGCCAAATTCGAGGATTACCGTGTCCTCCCCCTCTCTTCGGACTTCGGATAATCCTATGAAATTCTAGCGCAACTTGTCTATCTCTTCTTCCAGCTCCACGATCTTCTCGTCAGACCTCAGGGTGCGTGCGTTTTATGTTGCCAGGTTGAGTCGTCTTTGTTGGCAACCGAACCTCCACCGGAGACTCTTAGCATCCCCTGCCCCGCCGTTACCATGGTCGCCACCGTAGCCAGAAATAGCGGGGCCGCCGGGGACTGGGGGCCGTTTCTTTGTTACTCTCATCATAGGGGGGTATTTGCCATAGTTGCCACGCTTGGCAAGCGGGTGGGCAACCGCAGTTTTTTTTATTGTACGTTTGTTGTTATCAGGAAGTTGCTGCTGCCCATCTCCTGCCTGTTTCCCTTTGTCGCCTCTTACGACACCCCTGGGAAGATATGGGGTAGTGGATATTCTTAACCGCCACTACACGGCAAAATATGTTAAATAACAGAAATACAAGTCGATTATATTACAATAATAAAGATAAAGCGTGTTTATGCAATGCTTGAATCATATTTAGTCAATATCTCAATCACTTTTCCATATTTAAAAATAATAACTTTTTATGTAATGGTTTAACTAAATGAACGTCCATACAAAATTTGAACCAAATCCAAGGGGGTTGATTTTTTCATTTATTTTATAAAAGAGCTGCCGGACACGTATACTTCATATCCAGATGTATATTATGTGGTGGTCGACCGCGACTGTGACTACCGAAATACTGTTGCCAAAGACATTTAAGTAGTAGTATTAAAAAAAACACAAACACTCACTCCTGTCATCCAGAGGGGTAGGCAGAGACTACGGACTTCCATTTGGCGCGATCCTGACACATCTCTCTCGCCTACTTTACATCCATATATCTACGCATACACGCTCGTCGGTTAAGGGTACTCCTAAACTGGCCCATTTTTAATGTATCGCCGATTTGGTCGATAAACCTTAGACTAGGGCGTCCCTTCCTGACCCTGCTATTCACTTCTGCAACATAGATTTGCTTTGTCACTCTTTCCTTGTTCATTCTCTCTACATGACCAAACCACTGAAGCATTCCTTTCTTAATCCCTGTCACAACGTCATCTTACAAACCACACTTTTCTCTTATCACTCTATTTCCCACCCTGTCATTCAGATTCAGCCCTAGCATACGGATCGCATTTCTACAGCATTTACTCTACTCTCATGCTTCTTCTACCAGACCCAACTTTCACTAACATACATTAAATTAGGGATTAACACAGCATTATGAATTGCCATACGTGCCTTATTTGACACATTCTGACTCCTCATAATAGCGTGTAGAGCCCCAATCACTCTATTTCCTGCGTTCACTCGTCGTTCTATATCCTTATCATATCTACCATCCCTGTTAGATAAACATCCCAAATATACAAACTCATCCACTTGCTCAATCAATTCCCCTTCTATTCTTATTTCACATAACTTTTTACTTTCTTCTCTTTCAAAAACCATCACTTTCGTCTTAGTATTAATATGTATCTTAATTTCTTAGACTGTTGCACAATTTAATAGTCTCATATTAAGGACTTATGATAGTAAGGTCCATGATACAAAAGAAATAATATAGGTCTCAAAGATGCATAAACATTACAATGGCAGATTTGTGGCTTGAAGTCCCTTATTCGCTCGCTTGCTTTCGATTGCAAAAAAACCGTCGAACTTTACTCATAAAATTTGACATTGTGGCCGCCTTAATTATAAGTTGATTTACATTCGATCCGAGTGGCA